AATATAAATATGGTAATAAATATAGAAAAATATTTATTTCATCTTTGAACATTACAGTATCTTTTGCGATTAAATAATTTATTTACTATCAATTTATATACATAAGTTTCTTGTTATACTCTGGCGCTAGCGGCATTTTGTGCACATAGCACGGAACAAAACCAGAAATTGTGCACATTATATATTACCCTCTGAGAACATTCATGGACTTTGGCTTTGTAGTTCATGTCCACGTTTTCAATGTCTATAGAGGGAGAATTGCTTTCAGGGATCATTTAAAAGCAGGCCATGACATCTCTCAGTCTTCTTTCTGTAATTATAAATGTTAGCACGAATACTTTGAAACTGCATTTAAAAGTGTATATTACGTACCACTGTGTATAATGTGATTTACTTCAAAATTAATTTTCATGCATTAATTATATAGCAAAAGATAATATTTTCAATATTCTACAAAAATTAAAACACATTTTTTAAAATAGTGTTGATATATGTTCCCCTATTGATAATTAATAAAAATAAATAAAAACAAAATTGCAAAAAATAAATAAAAACAAAATTGCAAAATAAAATAAAGATTATCTAAATTTTTTTAGCATACAAACATATCCTGAACAAATATACATTTTTCATATACTTACTATACTTATTAAATATTAAAATTAAATACATATAAATAGTTTATTTTTTAGTTAGACTTAAAAAATTTATTTTATTTTTATAGTTTATCTTTCTCATTTTTTTTACATCTAAAAAATATAACTATAGTTCAATGGGGATTACGTAAAAGCGGGCCATGACATCTTTCGTTCTTCTCTTTGATATGTATATAGAAAAAAAAAGAAGACAAAAAAGAGAGAAAGAGAGAATACAGAAAAAGAAGATTTTTTTAGGTGGTAAATTATTTTATTTATCTAGGCACGATACACTGGAACATGACGGTATGCAATTACGCACCAATCGCAATCATATAAATACGCTAAATATAAATGCACGAATGTGCAAGAATATCGGAGAATAATTAAAATAATTTCATTCAAATTATTCGGCAATGACTATCGCGCCGCGTTCTTAAAATATATAATATATAATCTTCGCATTATAGAAAATAAATACAGCCATTTGATATCTTTTCCTCATCTTTTTGCTTCTTAAATTAGATGTACAATTATTTTACGGAAATTAAATGTACACACAATTTATACACAAATTAAAATTGTACGAACAAAGAGAAACGATTTCGTGATATTTATTCTCAAAAGATATCTCGGAATAAGAGAACAGATCCAAGCAACTTTGCAATAAGTAGCCTCGCAATTATTTTTTACGTATTTTCTTTCGAAAATGTTAAATCAATCTTCTGTTCACTCCTTTTTATTTGGAAAAATACACAATTTTGCCTATATACATATATATATCTGAACAGATGATTGTATGTGTTTTCGTTTCTCTTATAAGTATATACACCATATATTGTTTAACGCTGTAATTTCTTTAATATGCATTGTTGCAATAGAGAGAAATTGAAATTTTATAATTGGAAGAAGAGCGAAAGTATCTTTCCTCTTTTGTAACATATATCTTTTGCATAATTTTTTGCATCTAGATATGTAATATAAATTCTGAACTATATAAGATCATAGATTACATTGAAATATTGTTGTAGAATTACATGACGATTTGTCTTCTAGCAACAGAATATTATAAAAGCACTGTTATCTGTTTGTCTGCGAAGCAATGCATATTCGAATTTTTGAACATTTAAAATATCATTGCAGAATTAAACCTGAAATACATCCTTAAATACGTATTAAACAATAACACAATGCGATGACAGTTTCTTTTTTTTTCATTTCGACAAACTCGTATATGCTTCGCAATTATTTTACAAACACACATATTTTTCCCAATAAAACTAATCGCGCGGTGAGACAGCTTTTATTTACACAATCATATATATTTACATTAATTACAAGTATATCTCACATCACGAATATAATAACTTGTTTAAAAAAACCAATATCTGCGTGGAGACTTCCGTTATAGTTAATTCGCAGTCTCGTATTTGTTGCATGTGAAAATGCTCAGTCACGAAAGACAAATTCAGCGGTACGACATTGGTGTTACATTACTTACACATTTGAAAAAAAAGATAAAACATTATGCACAGAATAGTTTTTTCTTTTTTTTATCAAATTGAGTCGCATTAATTATAAGATAGAGGAAAGGAGAAGAAACAAGAAAGAATTGCGCGTTCCGCTCGCGATAGTTGTTCTCTCTCTCTCTCTCTCTCTCTCTCTCTCTCTCTCTCTCTCTCTCTCTCTCTCTCTCTCTCTCTTTCTCTCTCTCTTTCTCTCTCTCTCTCATTACAACATTTCAGAGAATAGATATAATATATAAAAATCTTGCTACAATTATATAAACCGATCTGTACGGTTTGTATCAATTGTGTAATTGAGTCAGCTCGTCTTCTTATAATCACTCATATAATTTCCTGTAAATATACACGCACATTTTTGACACACACACACACACACACACATATGCACACACACGCATGCACGCGAAGAGAGACAGAGACAATATATATACATATATATAAGGCACAGAATATACATTATATTTTATACACACGTACAAACAGTTGCACAACTCCGATAAATTAAGAAAGAAGGTGAAAGAATAAAAAGATAAAAGGAACTTATATGATATAAATTGAGCTCCATGTGAAAAACAACAGCATACAACATGTAAACTAAATATGTTTTTCAATATGTATATGTATGAATATATATATATATATATATATACATACATACATATATATAATATTATATTATATATAATATATAATGCTATATAATATTACATATGCATATTACATATACATATATAAATGATTATCTTGAGGATATTAATAGCTTCTGGTTTTGTACAAAAGTAACATAATATGAACAAAGTGATACATTTATTAACAAATTGTTAATATTATTATATATATTTAATACATATATAAATTGTATATGTCGTAAATTAGATTTATCAGAAGAGATTAAATAATACCCTCAATGATAATTATTTATCTATTTATATATGCGATGGTTTAATCTTTGTTTCGAAAACGTTTTTACAGCGAACAAAGCATGATTACAGGAATATTAATTACTTTGTGCCCTAATATTATCACAAAAAATGAGTCAGCGTCTTGTTCTAATTAAAAATGTTCTATAGCATCATTAGCATCATTTTCGAGATATTATATACTGACCCATCTACTATTTTTGCGAGTCTTAATAATTACGAAAAAATCGTACATACATTTCGCTCTGTCGTATTACTCGGGGTGACAATAGAAAAGTATAGCTTACATATACCGTGATTATGCATCTACTGTATGTACAGTAAACGCTTTTATTTAATCTGTAATTTGTATCATGTTTTATTCTGACATAATTTTTTGAATTAAAATTATAATAAATTATATATTAAACGTGATGTTATAGTATTATAATAATTTGTGGAGTTATAACTAAGAACATGATCAAAGATCTAGAGGAAACATAACAGTATCAATAGCAGTATCATTAATTTTCTATGGTGAATTATTAAAAAATACTTTTAATAATTCTCAATCAATCATTAATAATGTCTATGAATCCTCGAGAAAATTTCCGATATAATTTTTAAGATTTTCATATTTTCTTTAAATTAAACTATTTATTTATAGTGAATACTTATGTTACACGAGAGAATCACGGAATGTGTGTGTCGTTCTTAAATACGATTATATATTACATTAAACAGGCGCCTGTGTGCAAGAGTAATACTGTAGATAGACAGTGTCTTTATTAACAGTATATAATACCGTACTTAAAATATTTAAGATTAGAAAATGCTACGCGCGTTCTCGCGTGCTCGATCGTCGAAAGTCATTGACTACATGATAATATTTTTGGTATATAAGATGAATTGTATGCATATGTAAGATAAGACTTTCCTTGTTTTTTAGATTGCACGCGGCCTTTCCTTCTTATTACAAGTGTGACAATTAAGTTGCATTATTCGAATGGAGCCAATCATTTGTAAATCCGATATCATTCCACTGTTTTGTCCTTTCCGTGCTGTTATTTATCACAACCGAAACAAAATACTTGAATAAATAAAATTTTAAAATGTGACGTTCTGTTAATGCAAAGTTATAAATAATGATGACTCATCGAGGTTACTCGCGAAGGAGTCCTAGAAAATTCATATCAAATATTCCTCAGTCTTAGCAATTTTTTTTCCTTTATTCGTAAATAATTACGCGCGTATAAAGTTCTTTCAATGCTTATAGACAGAAAAAGAACTGTATAATATATTTTTTATGCCGTTGGATGTAATATGCGATGTAAATATGTAATATAATTGTAATAGATAGTTTAGAGATTGCAAATTTTTAATGTGTTTAACTTGTCTAGATACAATTATACATTTAAATCAGCCCAAGTTCATCAGTCAATATAAATTGAGATTTGAATTAATATTTTAAAAATTTCAAAAGACATAAGTTAAATGACGTATATAAGAAGTAAAAAAAAGGAAATATATATCTTTCATTTAAAATGTAAAACTCATCATAGGATTAAATTAAATGACCGTGAAAGATATTCATGTACATATCCGCAAAGAAAGCGACCATAAGTGACTGATAATAGTATATAGTATAAAGTTTTATTTATGACTTGGTCAAATTATTAAAAAGATTTAATAAATTGTACAATATAACGTTAACAGTATAATTTAAAAACTTTTAGAAAATATTAAATGGTCAAATTTTTCTATAATAAAGGACAAAACTAATTTAAATTTGTTTAAATTTATTTTTTATTAATTTAAATTTAAATAAATTTTTCAACAAAGATATATAAAGTTTTATACGATTATATACATTTTTAAATTATTTTAATACTCTGCAAATAAATAGGAGAAAACTTACTTTGATAATATTTGCATTGTATAAATAATTTATGTAATATTTATATAATAATTGCAACAGTGTATTATATTGCAGCATTTCTTAATATAATATATCTGAATTCTTGAATAAGAAACGTTGATTTTAATAGTCGGTCACAAGTCACGAAGTTGCATCGAAATTGACACTGTCGTTCGTAACTTTCACCGAAAGCGCAGTAATCTTGTAAACGTACTGATGTATACGAGGCACCATTTTATTATATACAACCGTATTTGCTAGGAGGAGAATATATTTGACCGGTGAAAAATACGTGGTATGATTCTTTTACATGCTAAATTTCTTTTTACGAGGAGGATGCTGGAGGATTACTGTCGAGAGAATTTGAAAGAGTCGCGATGTTTGCTGACAACAAAGATGATAACAATGATGATGAGACACGTTTGTCGCGGGAGCATGACATATCATGCTCCGTTGTTGCTTTATAAACTCACCGAATACTTATGTAATAATTCGTTCGGCACCATTGAGTTGGCATAATTTGAGGAGAAAGAGGAGGACTCTCTATCCTATGCAGCGAACGTTCTTCAGCGAGCTCTGCATGCGAAAGGGCCGCATAGAACGTACGTGAACACGCTCCCGGGGTTCGTGAACAAATCGCAGTATCGGATCGTTGCGAATCCGCCGTGTGACGAAGTTTGACGACGACATAGACGACAGAGATCGTACGTAGTTCCGTCGTATGGAACATCTGTATAGCACATGCCGTCGTGCCGGCAACTCCACGGGCTACACGGCACAGCCTTTTCTCGTGCCGTACAGTACCTTCAGCTCCGGCATGATGATCTTTTTGATAAGCGCGTTCGTCTTGGCGGTGAGCATGTCACGATGCGTATCCTTTTTAAAGATCTTGATGCCGGGCCGATGCACCAAGAAAGCGTTGTCGAGGATGAGAAAGTCATAATCAAGAACGCAAAGTGCGTAACCCTATTTGCAAATGATAAATGATTAATATATAACTACTATAAAGTATATAAAATTATCGAGAAAAAGATAGTTTTATCTCTACAGGGTGTTTCAGACCACCCGTACCATCCATTTAAAAATTAGAGAAGTGGTTATTTAAAAAAAGTAAAAACATTTTCTTTATAAATCGGGTGCGCTCTATCGAATGGTGATATTTGCAACTTCTGATTCCGGCCAAAAATAGGCGATTCAGACCGGAAGTGCATTTTTTTAAATGGTACTTCCTATTTTTCATCGCATAGTCTTGTAGCTTACTTCGAGAGCTTTCCAAAACACTATAATAAATTATTTTTCCATGAAGTACTTTTCGAGTTATGAAGCTTGAAATCATTTCTTAATTTTACAAACCATAAAATAACTTGTAAAATATTCATTTTTTGATTATCTTACCTTAATACTTTTATGTACAAAATAATGAGAGGAATCAATTAATGTAAAGAAAACACATAGTTGTTTCTAAGAAAAATGTAATTTGCAATTCCATATTTTTCTTAATCTTGTACAAATCTTGTACATAAAAGTATTAAGGTAATCGAAAGATGAATATTTTACAAGATATTTTATGGTTTATGTAAAATTAAGAAATGATTTCAAGCCTCATAACTCGAAAAGTACTTCATGGAAAAATAATTTATTATAATGTTTTGGAAAGCTCTCGAGGTAAGCTACAAGAATATGCCATGAAAAATAGAGGATTCCAATTTAAAAAATGCACTCTGAATCATCTATTTCCAGCCGAAACCAGAAGTTGAAAATATTACCATTCGATAGAGCGCACCCGATTTATAAAGAAAATGTTTTTACTTTTTTGAAATAACCACTTCTCTAGTTTTCATATGGGTGGTAGTCTGAAACACCCTGTATATTACATTTATTATATATTAAAACTTAATTATTATTTTGAATGATACTATATATAATTTTAGAGAATTATTTATCTTTTTTTAGTATCTCTTGATGATTAAGTGATATTTTTTGTTGAATTATTTTAATTCTGAATAATTTATGTAAACACGTACTTGCGTCATTTTATCACTCTTTCCTTCCCAACTGAGTCTCTCGTCGTAAAGAGGATCGTTATTGGTCCCGATGAAGATCGGCTCCCAGTGAACAAAGCTGCCAGTTCTCTTGCCTACGTGGAAGACATGCAAATCCTCCGTTTCTGGTGCTTCCTGCCACTCCTTGCTCTTCGGCACATTATGGCAGCCGGAGCATAACTTCTTATGGAATGGTATGGCGGTGCCCGCTTTCAGCATCTGTATCTACAAATTTTTACAGAAATTCTCAAAAAAAGGCTTCGCGCGAAAAAAACATTCATAAACATTAAACAAATGATTTATATTTTCTTATTTCGGAAACATTTCCATCATTTGAACATAAATAAACAAGGAACAAATCATTAGACACATCAGACTCGCACGCGATTATTAGCTTCGACGACTCTCGACTCCGACACGCATCAGCGGGAAAAAAAGAGAAAAAAATATAACAAGTAACGTGCATCATACAAGTCGCACATCGAGATTACAATCGCTCTCTGTTTTACCGCTCTAATTCTGACTGAGATGCGACAAAAGGTGCATTGTGCCGTGCGATACACACGGCGGCCGGACAATAGCGACGCTAATTCTACGTATCAAGGTCCACGGTCAAAGGAAGCTCCATTGATTCACCGCCGACCCTCGCCTACGCTATTAACGCATAGTCGGATATACCCTCGTCGTGCTCTCTTTCGCACGTGCTTAATTGTCGCCGAGGGACGACCGGTTATCATATAACAAATTGCATGCGAGCTACGCGAAAAGACAGACGACATACCAGATGCGTCTTGTTGTTGGGCGGCTGACTCTTCTCATCTACCTCGAAAATCGACAGCACGAAGACCTTAGGATTGGGCTTGTGAAGGGCCGGCTGATCCCTTTTGCGAATCATTTCGAGGAACTTGGTAGGCAAATTCGGGCTGGGATACAGCTCGATATCGCTAGGAAATACGTAGAAAGTAGGCGCGGACTCGCGCGCTATGTTGCGGCCAACGTTCACTGGGTACAGCAGCTTCTTCTCGTTCTTGTACATCTTTGCGAGGCTGACATTCACCCATGGTGGCCCGAGCGAACAGTTATACGTGTCGGAGACGATCTTCTCCGACGGCGGTACCTAGGATAACAGACGCGCTTTAATCGAGTATGACATTTACAAGAAATAAATATTATCAAAAATTCATCAATAAAATAAAAAATGCGAATACGTAAAAATTTTAGTATATTTCTCTTTTATACACATTTCTTTGTATTTCGTATTTTTTTATTTTAATAATCACTTTTATTTTATCATGAAAGGCGATTAAATATTACGTTTAAGAATGTTTTGTATGTACAATCCCAGCAAAAAGTAGCTGAAAATCAATATTGACGAATATATCCACTTTTGGTGTATTTTGAGTAAGAAATTGCGTGAAATATTAGAATTTGATTAGAGATGTATTTTTTAATATTTATTTATTGCGTTTTTAAGAAATATTCCGAATTTTGTTAATCGAAATGATTAACTTTTGGCAGAGAATTTCGCCTTGTGACAGATACATGGCTGACTTTATTAAATTATATTTAATATCTTTTTAATCAGTTAGTACTTGTATAATATTATTTGACCAAATATTTCCTCTGTATCTAAACTTTTGCAAATTTGAAACAAATTCTGAATATTATTTCCATGTGTTTTTGTCATTTGAATCGACGTGGATATACGTTTCCCATAAGAATACATGTTAATTCGGTGCAAATTAAAATCCTTATAACTTGTGAACGCTTTAGTGTATCGATTTAAAAATTGTACTAAAGATTCTAAACATATGTAAGGACATTCTGTACAATTTTCAATATTTTAATTAAATTCTCAATATTTTGAAAATAGGTTCAAAACATCCTTAAAAACCACCGTAAATAAAAATTAAATGATACGATTAAATTAAAATTAAATTTTTAGATTTGCAATCAATTATCGCATTAAATTCAACATTATACACATTAAATACTATATTAACTATATTTACTACACTATATTCAATAATATTTTACATAAAGTACTCTATATAATTATTTTTATAATCAGAAGATTGAGAAAATTATATAAATATTGAGTTTCTTTTCTGTAAAATATATAAGTTTTTTTTAAATTAAATTATTAGTTTAATTTGTTGGGCTTGGAAAATTATTATTTGTGCTAATGAAGAGATTTTCTATTAATTTTTTTTTAATACTTTTTTAAGATGCTATCATTGTCTTCGAGGACAAATAATGTTTGCAATAAATTTTTGCAAATTTTAAACAAATTCTGAATATTATTTCCATGTGTTTTTGTCATTTAAATCGACGTGGATATACGTTTCCCATAAGAATACATGTTAATTCGGTGCAAATTAAAATCCTTATATAACTTGTGAACACTTTAGTGAATCGATTTAAAAATTGTACTGAAGATTCTAAACATATGTAAGGACATTCTATACAATTTTCATTAAATTCTCCATATTTTGAAAATAGGTATAAAATATCCTTAAGAAGATTAAGAGGAAAAATTAATGTGTACCTGTGGATGACAATTATTCATGCGGGATTAGTGTACCGCAAGATAACGTGCGGTTTCCGATTGTAATCGTAGTTAACAATCTAAAGGCCTATTTGTAAAACGTGAGTCTCCACGCAGAACGAAACCGCACGTGGAGAAACCGCAAAACTATTTCATGATAGCTAGATACGCGTATCCGTTAGGCCTAGGAGGTATTCGTTACGACGTAAATCAATCCGATGAGACTTACACGGACGCAACGCAAGGAAGTACAGGCTAAATACTCCTCGCGTGCCAACGCGAACGAGCATGTATATTCATAAAGTAGAGATCTACGCACGCATTACATTCGAGAAACAAATTACCGGGGAAGGAATGACTGTCATAACAAAACGTTTATCTGTATGTCTATGATTAATTTGCCGTGTTATTTCGCAGACGTATTGATGAACATGCGATTCGTAAAATTTTATACAAAACATAAACGATCGATAATTATAAGATTAAAGATAATTATTTTATTTAAAATTTACTTTTAAAAATATCTGAATTGCGTCTTTAATACAAAATAAACATTCCTTTACTTTTTTGCAAATATAACGTTTATAAAAATAATTTTTAACTTTGTTCTGTAAATGTTAATATTGCAGATTTCATTATGTAAATTTTAAGAGAAAATATTGACAATATTACTAACATATTTATCAGATATGCGTCGTAGCTTTGCATGAAACATGAACAGGAAAGAATTGAGGAGGAACTCCAAGTTTCTAGGAGCAAATAAATTGCGGTTTCCTCATTCGTCATATGTGTGTTGTAAAATATTGACAAACTCTTGCAGATTCGCACGGTGTATCCAGAATTTGACGAGGGTTGAGGAGATGCACAGGAGAGAGGAGCTTGAGGATGTCGAGAGAACCATCTAATTGTCCATTTACCATCTTTGGCACGTGCTTGCTGCTGAAGAAGACGTGGAAGGTCACCAGCTGCGAGACCAGCGGGCTACCGCAGTTTCTCGAGTACCTGATAGCGTTGAGGGTCGCCGGAAAGTCGGTGCCGGGTGCGTGCATGGCGATCGATATCGGCGCCCGCCAGCGCTCCAGCAGCGGCTCCAGATTATCCAGGAACGTGTAGTCGGCGTGCGTGGTGTACGTCACGCTCTCCCAGCATCTCACCGCCATACTCATCGGCACGTAATTGTACAGCACCCAGTAATCGCCGCGCTGCGCTCGCCTCGGCTCGGTTGACTTCTCATTGCAGGCTATGGCCTCCTTCATGCTCATCGGTTCGCGCGCGACGTTGTTGGTCGTGCTGTTCCTCGCCTGGATATGAGAAAGCGTCTGAGTCAACGGTCGTTTGAAAGGGAAATTTGCATCGGCGACGGAAATGCCGCGAATAGCATGGCAACGATCGCTTCCAAACCTGAATTTCTCTATCGTGACATTTTATATGCGTTTTAAGGAAATCCGCTTCTTTCTGAAAACCTTGTTTATTGTTGATTTATCGATATGAATGTAATACGAAATGACAGTTTAGTTTTTTTTATTAGAAATATACCCCATGTTTTTTATAAAACAAAATCATTTGAGTGAGTAGAGTCTGTTAAAGCTTGTATCGAAGAATTAATTATTTAATTCTTTAATTAATTCTTTAATAAATTCTTTAATAAATTCTTTAATAAATTTTTAAATAAATTTAATAAACTAACATTAAACTCTTCAAGGTCGCCAGTAAATAAAATACAAGAAGTAATTAAAAACGACCACACTGGCAAATTTTATTAAAGTGAATCACGATGTTTCGACCATGGTTTTGGTCCTTTTCGAGTGAACTACAAAATATTATTTCCAGTATTACACAAAAAAAATAAATTACATTGATTTTGAAATAAAAAATGAGCGGCAATACATACAATAATTTAGTTAACTATTCTATCGTGAGAAATAAGGAAATCACTTCGTCAAAATTGTCAAAAGATTATATTTTTTAAAACACCGTGATAACGCGAATATGGACAATGAATCCGACAATGCAGTTACATCTTCGTACATTTCCTTGCCATTTGTGGAGGGCTTGAGTAGTGAAATTGGTCGCGTTTTTAAAAATGTAGATCTTAATGTCGTCTACAATGTGCCTAAAAAACTCAACGCATTAATTAAACGTGGTAAAGATAGGCTGCCTACTAATAACATGACGGAAGTCGTTTACAAATTAGACTGCAAAAATTGTAACAAGTCATATATTGGCCAAACAAAAAAACATGTAAGCACTCGTGTAAAAGAACATCGCAACAACATAAAAGTGCACGAAAGTAATTTTTCTGTTATCAGTAAACATAAAGTTGAATTTAATCATGACTTCGATTGGTCATTACCAGTTATTTTACATAATGAGAAACACGTGAGAAAGAGAGAAATCGCCGAAATGTTTTTTATAAAAAAGTTTGACAAGACGATCAACTTACAAAAGGACACTGAAAATTTAAACAATATTTATGATAAACTAATAAAGGTTGTCTAGTCTTTCTCTGTGTGTTGATGGAGACGGTTGACATGATAATCTTGACGAAGTGAATTCCTTTTTCTCACGATAAAATAGTTAACTAAATTATTGTATGTATTTATTCTTGCCGCTCATTTTTTATTTCAAAATCAATGTAATTTATTTTTTTTGTGTAATACTGGAAATAATATTTTGTAGTTCACTCGAAAAGGACCAAAACCATGGTCGAAACATCGTGATTCACTTTAATAAAATTTGCCAGTGTGGTCGTTTTTAATTACTTCTTGTATTTAATAAAACTTTTAGAACTTTGTCAGTACTTTACGTATTGCATAGATTTATTCTCATTCATCTCTCTCTTTTTTTTATCATATATACTAAGTATTAAATTTTTCGTTCGGGAAGAAATTAATCAGATTCATCTGGTAATTCCTACAAGAATTCTGGTTTATCCATTTTCCAACAGAAATACTGGTTGAATCTACCAGAATTCTAATTAGTGCAATCAGATTTTTTTCTCAGTGTTGTATTGAAGAATTAATTATTTAATTCTTTAATAAATTGGCGAAAATTTTTAAAACTTTGTCAGTACTTTACATATTACACAGATTTATTGTACTCGTCTCTCTCTTTTTCTGTTTGTCATATATATTAAATATTAAATTTTTCGTTCTTTTAAAGATTTCATCCATAATAGTCATCAAATGTTCAAGTAGAAAACAATACATTTTTTTGAAATAATTTCGACTTTAATTGCTTGCATAATAAAAAACAATGTAATACTTTATTAATATTCTAGCTTAATCAATAAAAATGTGATTGCACCTGAATATTTTCTCTCATTTCTTGATCTTTCCAAATTAATTATGATATTTTTATTGATCTTTATTTCTATCGTTATAAAAAGAAAAATTGATAGTATTCTAATAAATAAACAAACCGCGAGCAACAGCTATCAAATCTAAACCAACGATTACGAATCACGCTGCAAGTATCGAACAAAGAGAGAGACGAAGAGCAGTGGAGGCAGGACGAGGTAGTACCGTCTGATTACGCGGGTGCTCCCGCGACTTGTCGAGAGCCTCGGCCTTGGCCCCGTTGTTGGGAGGCGGCGTCGTGGTGACAAGCCTGATCCTTTGCGGACGACCGGCGCCAACGCCGTTGTTATTGTTGTTCGCCGGCGTCGCATCTTTGACAGCGATCGCAACCGACGACGATGACGACGATGACGAGGATAACGACGTGGCGACGCCCTTCTGAGTACCGTTCCCGAGATCGTAAGTCTCCGGCGCCGCCGCCCAATTGGTCGGCGGTTCCTCGATCCACGGGCCGGACGAGCCGATGTGGGCGCACACGTACAACAGCACGCACACGTTCAGCACCACCGATAGGCGCAGCGCCCAGTTCCTGCGGGCGATGGCTATGATGCTCATCTCCTACAGGTCCGAATTGCGCGGTGAGGAGCGATGCGAGGAGTGTTGGAAGGTAGGGGAATGAATAATCGCGCGCTGGTTCCTCGTCGCACTCGAAGGAATCCTCCTCGCGATAAACTTTCCCGGATGACGGTGATGATGTCGATTCGCCTCTTTATTTTCCTTTGTTCTTTCTCTCGCGTTAGGTTGTTAATGTCGGATTCGCGATTCTCGCCGATATCGACCCGCCGCGTCCATCCTTTCGCGGACCACGGCAATCAGGATTTGCTTTCTCTCATGATCTTCTGGTGATTGACGATCCACATCTGGAACGAGAATGGAAAAGGGACTTTTTAACAAGAGAGTATCGCTGGGAATAATTTAAGTCTTACAGTTACTAGACGATTTTGCGATATTTTTCAAGCAGATAAATTAATAAATAATCATTATAATAATTTATTATTATTAAGATAATTTATTAATTTTAATCATTAAAATTTTGTGATATTACACAGAAAAAAAGGACATTCTTGGTTTCGAAAATGTATTTAGTTTTAACATGGAAATCTTGATGTGCAATATTAAAATAAGACTATAATATTGTTGAAATTTAAAATTATTAAATTCTTCTAAGAAGATTATAAATTGTTGTGTATATACGAAACAACGAACGCATTAGTTTAAATATATAAGTTTTGATTTGACATTAATTTTTTTTCTGTGTAATATCGAATTATCAGACCTTCGTCACATCTATAAAATTATAAAGACCATACAGAAAAAAGGACATTCTTGTTTTGAAAATATATTTAGTTTTAACATGGAAATCTTGAAATGAGACTATATTGCGTTAATTAAGGAAAAATATAATTGCTTGAACTTACTTGAATGAAACTATTTTATATAGTTCAATCAAGAAAAATATATTCTTATGATTTAAGATTTAATTTTCTTGAATAGAAAAGAAACAATGTTAGATAGAAAATAACATTTTTAAATCAAAGATTATAATTTTCTTAAAATACAATTAAATAATTATATATTCTTGAGGTGACAATTGCAATATTAAAATAAGACTATAATATTGTCGAAATTTAAAATTATTAAATTCTTCTAAGAAGATTATAAATTGTTGCGTATATACGAAACAATTTATAATCTTCTTAGAAGAATTTAATAATTTTAAATTTCGACAATATTATAGTCTTATTTTAATATTGCAATTGTCACCTCAAAAATATAATTATTTAATTCTATTTTAAGAAAATTATAATCTTTGATTTAAAAATGTTATTTTCTATGAAACAACGAACGCGTTAGTTTAAATATATAAGTTTTGATTTGACACATTTTTTTCTGTGTATAAATATATATTTTTAATTTCAATTATTATGAAAAACTGCTTTTACCATAGTCAAATCTATTTCTACTCTCAACTATTCATTTTAATTCCTCGGAAGGCTCGGACATTCAAATACCTTATTTAGAATATTCCTTATTTAGAGATTACATAATATAAAAATTCCTTAATTTATATACGTAACATATTCAAATATAATATATCCGATAATTAACATTTTTACACATGAATAAATTATATTAGAATTTATATCAGTAAACGAGTAAAATTAGCATATGTCTTAAAATACTAACACTCGCTGGAGACACGCACGTTACTCCGGTTTGTCTCATCTCGCTCGCTACAATTGCAAATATCTCTCGTTAGATCGCGTCTCATTTATCTCACGCTGCAATCAACGGCGATCCAGTTTATAGCGCATGCTGCGAACGCGACTTTCTCCCCCTATCTCTCCCGCATCTTCTTCCTTGTTGACGTCGCATGATGGAACCGCCGACAAGACGACGCAACGAGTCCGCGTCGGCGTAACGCGACATTATCGGGGACCAGGCGGTCTGAATTGAGTAACCCTTGGCGATCGCTTCCTCCGCGGAATCACGATCCGACGTTTAAGCAACGGTGAGTGAAATCGACAGAGATGGATGGGAGGGAGGGAGGAGGGAGCTACAGATTGCTGAAAGATCGCGAGGATCGAGAGATCGAGACTTGGGGAGAAGCGATCGACTCGACCTTTTTGCACTCGATCATCTCTTACGTGTCAATATCGACGGAATCTGTTAAGTCTCGCCAATAATATTTTCGACGACTTCTATAATGCAAGAATGCAGTCCGGCTCTTTAACCGCCGCTGGTGTTTCTTAAGGATGTTTTATATCTATTTTCTAAAAAATATTGAAAGCATGCGTGATACGCACATAAATGTATTGCGTTCTTTGACTCTCGAGCGTCGTATTATTTAGAGTTTAGAGATATCGTTAGTCGACATCATTGAATATTCGATACTTTTTACATTGTTTACAAAATATCGAATAAAAAATTATAAGTAAAATATTGACCAGATATGTATGAAATATTATATATATTATAAATGTCAAGGACCAGCAGTATCACGAATTGAATTTGAGTTGTGCTATGTATTACTTAGGCATAATAACTTATTGCAAACATTATTTGTCCTCGAAGACAATGATAGCATCTTAAAAAAATATAAAGAAACATTAATAGAAAGTCTCTTCATTAGCACAAATAAAAATTTTCCAAGCCCAACAAATTAATCTGATAATTTAATTTACAAAAAACTTTTAAATCTAAATTCAATATTTATATAATTTTCCCAATTTTCTGATTACAAAAATAATTATATAGAGTACTTTATGTAAAATATTATTTAATATAGTGTAGTAAATATATTTAATATAGTATTTAATGTGTAATGTAGAATATTGAATTTAGTGCGATGATTGATTGCAAATCTAAAAATTTAATTTTAATTTAGTCGTATCATTTAATTTTTATTTACGGTGGTATTTAAGGATGTTTTGCACTTATTTTCAAAATATTGAGAATTTTTTAATGAAAATTGTACAGAATATCCTTACATATGTTTAGAATCTTTAGTACAATTTTTAAATCGATTCACTAAAGCGTTCACAAGTTATAAGGATTTTAATTTGCACCGAATTAACATGAGTTCTTATGGAAAACATATAACCACGTCGATTCAAATGACAAAAACACATGGAAATAATATTCAGAATTTGTTTAAAATTTGCAAAAGCTTAGATGCAGAGGAAATATTTGGTCAAATAATATTATACAAATATTAACTGGTTGAAAGGATATTAAATATAATTCAATGAAATTAGCCATGTATCTGTCACAAGGCGAAATTCTCTGCCAAAAGTTAATCATTTCGATTCACAAAATTCGGAATAATTCAGTAAAACGTAATAAATATTAAAAAATACATCTCTGCACTATAGCTAAGATCAAATTGTAATATTCTACGCAATTTCTTACTCAAAATACACCAAAAGTGGATATATTCGTCAATATTGATTTTCAGCTACTTTTTACTGAGATTGTACATACAAAACATCCTTAATCGCGAATTCCTCGATCGATCTCCTTCCTCGAAAATTTCAAGATGCGCGTTAAATCTGAAAATCTGCGTTTACTTTAATGGAATTTTAATTCGAGACAAGTTTTCGGAGAAAAATATATAACGAGGAAAAGAGAGGAAGAGGAGACAAAAAACGCTGAGATAAAAATTGATTTTAAATTGATCGGAGAAACTTGGATTAAAAAAATAATATCGAAGATAGAACTGGAAGTCACTCTCTATAAATGGAAGACAAACAGTTTTTAAAGGAAAATAGGGAGGGAGAAACAGGCTTTAAAAGTACTTTACAAAGAAAACATTATAATAGAGTATTCGTGGCATAAGAATAATTTATGACATGCAATATTCGAGCGTTATATAACTAGGCGTGCTACGATCTTAAAGTTGGAATTATCGCCGATGTTAGCAAACTACACAAAATTCTCCGATTCACGAGCGATTTTTACTTCATGATTTAAAAAATATGTACGGAAGCGTGCAATAAATGTCTCTTGAGCTTTATGCTTGTTGTATCGAACCGTATTATCGGTACCTATCGGTTCGTTTGAAATGTTTATGCTTGTCTTAGATAAAGCATGAGTACAATCTTGTAGAGCGAATAAGAAGAGTAAATAAATTAATATTTGTCGTATAGATTAAAAGCAAAGAGTTGAACGAGAGAAAAAAGTTTTGTCAACAATTAAATATTTAATATATAAGGTACCGGATACTTTAATATTATAAGGCAAATTATTTTGCAATCATTTGAAGTAATACTACAATTTTGCAAATCAGTAAATCCCGTGAATATTTATCGAAAAAATACGACGAGATAATATTGATAATCATAATATATGACAGAGATGTGAAACACAATATTTCTGCTTGATTATTATTTTAATCAGTAATTATGAAAAACCTCTATTTACACCGATTTACACTGAGTGAAAAATTTTTTTAAATCAAATAAATTTGTTTTCTTGAAACTTTTACTTTAAATGGAAGGAATTGTTTATTTCATTTAAGCAAAAGCATTTTAATTAAATATGCATGTTATATTAAGTACATTATTTTCATTTATATATTTTTTATATTTAAATACTATTTTCGTAAAATATACTATAATTTATTAAATTAAATTTATTACTTTTTAAAATTAAAAAATTTAAAATCTTTGGGAATAAAAAATGCATTTTAATAAATATTTTGTAAAATTAAAATAAAAATATTTAATTAAAAATTATATTCTTTTAAGCACATGTAAATAAATACTTAACTTAAGCAAACAGACATTTTGAATACAAGTAAATACGTGATTAGTACCCACCGAATAAATAGCTTTCTTGAGTTAACTAAAATTTTTTTATTTCAAGATAATTTTTTCCTCAGTGCACCGAATGCTACGTAATTATTAAAATAACAAGATGCGAAAAAAAAAATAATATCCGGCTTTCGGACTTCTTAACTTTTTTCGCCTTCATGTCGTGCTCGAATATAGGTGATTTCTAATAGGTAAGTTCACATCGCTTGCAATAAGAGCTCGATGTTTGATTTGAGGCCGTAGTGAATACACGTTAACGACCAATGTCGATAGCCAGGTATCGGATAATTAGCGAGGAATTGCAAAACGACCAGAGAGAGAGAGAGAGAGAGAGAGAGAGAGAGAGAGAGAGAGAGAGAGAGAGAGAGAGAGAGAGAGAGAGAGAAAAGCGACTCGTAATATGTGGCACGAAGGACATTGAATCACGAAGAGCAATAAAACCTCGATTGGCGCGCAAAGTCCCAATTTCAATACGACTATCGAAACGACGATTTTAATTATCGATTTTTCTCAAAGACTCGGCCATCCGTTTACTATCGCACATG